ATATAATAATAAAAAAAAAAAAGTTGCAGGAGAAAAAAAAAAAGCACATTTGATGACTCCAGCGAGCTGTATGGGCACAGCTGGGTACTACTTTATAGTATGTTCATTCTACTCATTGGGGTGTATGCCTAGGGTCAGATTTGGGTACATGTATAGGTATGTGTCAGCTGTGCTAGCTATTGGATATATTTAGACTAATTAAGCTCATTGGCAGAACAAATGAATGGGGGGTGCGGAAGGCATGGAGGGCAACCATGGATGCCAGGGACAATGGAGGAGGAAGACGGGACATAGCAAAGGGTGGGGGATGGGGAATCAGGGATGGCAAGACAAAGGGCAAGGTATGCAAAATGTAAGAATTGGAAAATTATTTGCTGAGAACATGTATGTTGATGTGTGAGATTGAACCAATGCACAGTGTATTTTGGATGGAAAATTCATTTGTGTGTTGTGATGGTGTATAGTGAATTAATAAAAAAAAAAGAAAAAAAAACTAAGCTAATTGATAAAGATTGCTACACTAAACAATGGATAATTCAGTTTATATAAAACAGCCATTTATTGGAAGGTGCCATGTAAGACTTCTACAGCTTGAGAGGAGAAATCAGTGTCTGGGTTCTAAGCTTCAGACAACAGGCTCTCTTACCAGGGGCTAATTCAATTGGTAACTTTAAGTTGAAACCAGTGCTTATTTATCATTCTGAAAAGCCTATGGTCCTTAAGGAATATGCTGAATCTTCTCTGCCCGTGCTCTGTAATGGATGACAACACACATCTGCTCACAGCATGCTTTCCTGAACATTTTAAGCCTATTTTTCAGACCTACTGCTCAGAAATAAAGATTCCGTTCAAAATATTACTGGTCACTGACAATGCATCTAGTCATCCCAAATCTTTGATGGAGCTATACAAGGGTATGAATGTTGTTTTCATGCCTGTTAACATCTATTCTGTAGCCTGTGGCTCAAGGAGTAATTTCAACTTTCAAGTATTATTATTTAAGTAGTACTTTTCATAAGGCTGTTGATGCCATACATAGTGATTCCTCTGATAGATCTGGGTGAGTCAATTGAAACCTTTCTGGGAGTGATTCCTTCTAGATGGCATTGACATGTGTGATACATGGGAAGAAGTAAAAATAGTAACATTAATAGGAGTTTAAAAGAAGTTGATTTAAATCCTTAAGGATGACTTTAAGGGGGTTCAAGAGCTTGATTTGTGAAGTAACTGCATATGTGGTGGAAATAACAGGAGAACTAGGATTAGAAATAGAGCCTGAAGATGTGACTGAATTGTAGCAATCTCATAAAACTTGAAAGATTGGGGAGTTGCTTCTTCTGGATGAGCAAATGAAATAGTTTATTTTAATTTAATTAAGTTAATTTATTGTTATTTTTAACTTGCTATAGAGCATGTGTGCTTATCAGAGAGAGACAGAGAGAGAGGGAAAGTGAGAAAGCAAGCAACCAGGTCTGGGACTTGAACTATGGTTGGCCACGTGGGAGTCCAGCACCTTAACCACCGTGGCACCTGCTGACCCCAAAAGCAGTTTGTTAACATGCAGTTTATTCTTGTAAAGATGCTGTGAAGATGGTTGAAATGATAACAATGGATTTAGAATATTACATAAATTTTGGGCCAGCAGTTGGTGTAATGGCTGTGTTGCTGGACTCCCATGTACTCGACCACAGTTGAGGTCCCAGAACTGTTGGCTTAAACTCATGTCAGGTGCGTGTGTGTGTGTGCCCAGAATCCTCATAGGAGAATGGAGGAGAAGGGATTGCAGTGCGGCCATCCCCCCGGGGGGTCAGTTCTCGCTTTCTGTCTCTCTTTGTCTTTCTGGTGAGCACATGCGCCCTATAGCAAAAACCTCTTAAAAAAAAAAAAAAAGAGAGAGAAAAAAAAGAAAAAAGAATATTACATAAACTTAGTAAATAAAATAGGAGCAAGTTTTGACTCCAATTTTGAAAGAAGTTCTACTGTAAGTAAAATGATATCAAACAGCATCACGTGCTACAGGGAAATCATTCATGAAATCAATCAGTGTGGCAAAGTTTATAGTTGTCCTATTTTAAGAAGTTGCTCCAGCTATTGCACCTTCAATAACCACTAGTCTAGACAGTCAGCAGCCATGAGCATTAAGGCAAAACCCTCCACTAGCAAAACGATTACTGTTGACTGAAGGCTCAGATGATCACTAGCATTTTTTAGCAATAAAGTATTTTTTAAAATAATTGATGTGAGTGTTTTTTCAGACATGAAGCTATTGCATGCTTGATAGTCTGTAGTAACATATAAGCATAGCTTTTTTTTTTTTTTTTTTTGAGAGGTTTTTGCTATAGGGCACGTGCGCTCACCAGAAAGACAGAGACAGAGAGAGAGAAAGCGAGAAATCACCCCCCAGGGGGGATGGCCATGCCGCACTCCCTTCTCCTCCTTTCTCCTCTCGAGATCTTGGGCACGCACGCATACGCGCCCGGCTTGAGTTTAAGCCTCCGGGATCAAGGACACGAACTGTGGTCGACTACTTGGGAGTCCAGCGACATAGCCATTACGCTAACTGCTGGTCCCAAAACATAACATTTATATGCACTGAGATACCTCAAAATTTGTGTGAATTGCTTTATTGCAATATTTGATTTTATTTGCAGAGGTCTAAAATGGAAACTGAAGTACATCCAGGGTTCAACTCCATACATATACTAGATAAACACATATATATGCAATTTGTATATCATGAAATCTCTCTCTCATTAAAATAGGTGGACAAAAATTACTGAGGCTGTTTTTTTAAAAAAGCATTTAAAATTGTAGATTGTTTCTTCTTTTGTTTGTTTGGCAGAGTCTTGCTATGTCAAATTTTTCTACCTTAATCTCCCAAGCTCTGGGACTATAGGCACATGTGCCTATCTTTTAGGGTGGGCTGGGAATTGAACCCAATGTAGCCACTGCCTGCCAAGTAGCAGCATCAACCAGCAAACATTGCTGTAGCTAGGCCAATGAATTGTTTATTAGTAAAGCTATATTGCAACTACTTTTAGTTGTGACATTTGTTGGGAATATTATAGTATGCTTGGTATAATGTTTAAACTATTGTAAATTAAAGTGAACTAGTTGGAAGTTTAATTGCAGCAATATGAGCAGCCTATTTATTAGTTTATCAGGAAAGACTTAATGCATTTTTGCATAGAAAAATACATCATGACTTTCCTGACAACCTAGTATTTTAAATTTGGCATTCTTTGATAGGAGGCTGTGGGTGCAGTGTATTAGGGAGAGATGTTAGTCAGAGGGTATGGAGTTTCAGATATACAGGATGAGTAACATATAGTGGATATATGCACAACTCACTGACTATTGTTAATAATGATATGTCCAAATAACTGAAAGAGTAGATTATCAATGTTCTTACCACAAAGAAAGGATAGGTATGTGAGGTGATGGATACATTAATCAGGCTGATTTAATTATTCTGTAATGTATACATGTATCATAATGCCACATTGTATATCATCTCTACATAATAATTGCCAATTAAAAATAATACATGCTTTCTCTTTTAAAAAGAATTATTTATTTAATTTCATTTGTTATTATTTTTTTAATTTGACCAGAGAGAGACAGAGAGAGAGAAAGAAAAAGTGAGAAAGTGAGTCGCCAAACCACATTTGGCCATATGGGAATCCAGAGCCCTTAACTGCCATGCCACCCGCTGGCCCCAATACATACTTTCTTAAAAGGATGAGGAAAAAAGGGACCAGCAGTTAGTGTAGTGGCTATATCGCTGGACTCCCACATAGTCGACTGCAGTTCAAGTCCTGGACCCGGTGGCTTAAATTCACGCCAGGCACGTGTGCGTGTGTGCCCAGGATCCCGAGAGGAGAATGGAGGAGAAGGGATTGCCGTGTGGCCATCTACCCTGGGGGGATGATTTCTTGCTTTCTGTCTCTCTGTTTCTCTCTGTCTGTCTGGCGAGCTCACGCGCCCTATAGCAAAAACCCCTCCAAAAAAAAAAAAAAAAAGAAAGAAAGAAATCAAGCCAATTATATTCATGTACAATGATTTACTCCTCTAAAAGTGATGCTTTTTCTTACTTTAGGCAACCTAATGAAGCCTCTTTTGAATTATGGTATCGCGTGGTGAGTATATCCTTTTTACTTTATGTTACTTTTCAGTATAATGTCAATTAACTTATACAAGTTAGTTTAATTTTTGGATTATTATTGCAGTATGTCAATGGGCTTCCTGGTTGAAGAGACTGCACCAGTTGTTTGGAGAGGTCTTATGGTAATGTCAGCCATTGAGAAATTGTTGAGGCAGGTAAGAAAATTGTACTAAATATTTTTTAAAAACTTTTTTTTTTAGGTCTTTGCCATAGGGTGTATACACTTGCTGGATAAAGGCAGAGAGAGGGAAAATGAGAGTTCATCCCTCTGGGGAGATGGCCATGTCACAGTCTCTTTTCCTCTATTCTCTTCTTAGGATTTTGGGCATGCATGCACACACTCCTGAAATGATTTTTTTAGGCCACCAGTCCAGGACTCTAACCGTGCTCAACCATGTGGGAGTCCAGTGCCTTCACCACCATGTTACCTGCTGTCCTCCTAAATATAATGTTATTATTGGCAAAGCTGTGATTAGTGTATTTGCTGATTGGAGAATTGTTAAAATTTGCAGTCTAGTTTGATATGTTTTACAAAGGAATTTTATTGGTGGGCCAAGTGTCTAATGAGTAATGGTGGCACCTAATGAGTTATGTGAAGCCAGGACCAAATTTCATTATTGTGTGATACATTCTTTCCCATCACTCATGAGCACTAAAAATCCTAATGTCTTATTTTTTATTGTTTTGTTGAGTCTGCAATAAAAAAGAGCAAATCTGTTTTATAAGTAATAGATTTTGTAGTTGTAGAAACTCCTCAGATACAGAAAAAAATTATATAAGCCATGGTACTTATAATTTAACAATTTTCATAGAAAGTGAAATTTTGGGTTCACTCTGTAGTATGATGGTTAAGAAGCTGGATCTTACATGTCTGACAGTGGTTCTAATCCTGGTTCTAGTGGCTTGAAAAACACACTAAGTACATGTGCTTGCTTGCCCAGTGTCCTGATGGGTTGAAGAACTGGATGGAGAGGGGATTGCGGTAGGACCAGGTACCATTGGGGTTGCTTTGTCTCACGCTCTTTCTCAAATGTGTACATGTTCCCTCTGGCAATTAAAAAAACTGAAATTTAGTTTCATTCTGAATATTTACAGCTATATATTTGCATATATGATATCTGTCCAATTAACTTTAATTTATCTTGAAGAAAAGCAGAGAACGTTTGATTGGATAATCTAAAAATATCACATCGTCTATGTTACTTACAGTTTGCTTAGAATAAATTTTACTTTTTTGTCTCAGTTGATGTGAGTTTATAATTGTGTTCTAGGTAAATGCTAAAAGTAATTTGCATTTATTTCACCAATTTACAACAAGTACTCCTTAATTATTTTCATTCTACAATACTTTGGGTCAGACACTGTACTATAGGTTGACAGTTCTAATGGTAACTATTCCTAAATTCATTTTTAGATGCGCAAGTAAGCACATGAAATATGTCCTGACCTTTGAAACTTCCTTTTTTTGACTATAACATCTTGGCTTCCCACCACTTGTATCATTGATTCTTGAGTTATGATAAATATGTTCTTTGATCTTTGATTTCATACTCCTCCTATTCTCCTCGTCTTCTAAGACTTTCAGCTACCATTTCCTTATTTTTCACTCTCATATCCTGCAGTTGGTTATTTCAGTTATACTTCCCCAAACATCCTTTCTCGCCAGTTTCTTTGTGACCTTTATTTGTCTAGATTAACCTAGACTTTTCTCTACTGTTGAATGCTGTCAGAGATGATAGAATAATTATGTTAATTGATTGTATTATACATTTTTAACTTCTGAATTTAGCTATTCTCTCGACACTTCAGTCATCTGATTGTACTCATTGTTTTACAATATTTATCAAAAACTCAGCGTAAAAAATATTTAGGAAATGTGATAGATAGTCTGGCAGAGGAACAAGTGGAGATATGGTGAAAATAAGCTCTGTGACATATTAGTTGTATAAAAGTCACAATTTATTCTGATATGTGCTGTAGATACTTTTCTAGACACTTTAATGAGAAATGAAAGGTGATATTTTAGGACTACACTGTGACTACTGCTGGTCATTTGAGTTGCTAATTAAAGGAGTACTTTTCCCTTTTTTCTTTGGAAAGCAGACCACCAACTGATAAATTTAATGGCTTAGGCCAATGTTAATGGCTTAGCATTGCTAATAGAAATACCTAAACTGGGTGAATTTAAGAGAATAGAGGTTTATTTTGACTCCAAATTAATGAAATAATTTTATTTGATTTATTTATTTTTTCTTGGAGAGGTTTTTGTTATAGGGCACGTGTGCTTGCCAGAAAGACAGAGACAGACAGAGAGACAGAAAGCAAGAAATCCCCCCCCCCAGGAGGGATGGCCACACAACAATCCCTTCTCCTCCATTCTTCTCTGGGGATCCTGGGCACACATGAACAGGCGCCCAGCATGAGCTTAAGCCACTGGGTCCGGGACTCAAACTGTGGTCAACTACATGAGAGTCCAGTGACATAGCCATTATGCCAACTGCTTGGTCCCTTTCTGGTTTCTTACTTAGCCTAGACTTTTGAAATTCATCTTTGTTGTTGTATATATTGGTATTTGTTTTTTTTTTTATTTATTTTTTTATTGCTAAGCAGTATTTCATAGTATGAATATAAAACCAAGTATTGTTTATCTGTTCTTTTGTTCATGGACATTTTTGTTGTCTCCAGTTTTTGGTTATAGTGAATTATACTGCTGTTAATATTTCTGTAAGTATTTATAAGAGTTCCAGTTGCTTCACATCTTGGTCAACATTTAGTGTTATCAGTCTTGTTACTTTTAACCATTCTAGTGGTTTTAATGTGGTATCTTTTTTTCACATTTTAAATAGTCCTTGGTGAGGTGGGTAAATGCCATTTAAAAACAGTTTTAATAGAAAATTTATAAATCAATTTACAGAAGATTGAAAGAAATTAATATTTAATATCAACTTTAACTATAAATAACTAAAAAGGAAAATATTATCCTCTATACTTCCGTTTTGCTTCAACATCTGTCTTCCCTTTCCTGCTTTTTGTGGAAAACATTGCATGGTAAGGTTGCTGTCATTTTGGATGAGGATGAGGATCAAGATCTTCTGAATCTGGGACCAGCAGTTGGTGTAATGGCTATGTTGCTGTACTCCCATGTAGTTGACTGCTGTTTGAGTCCCGGACCCGGTGACTTAAATTCACGCTGGGCGCGTGTGCGTGTGTGCCTAAGATCCGGAGAGGAGAATAGAGTAGAAGGGATTGTGGATTGCTGCATGGCCTTCCCCCCCTGGGGGTGATTTCTCGCTTTCTGTCTGTCTGTCTCTGTCTTTCTGGAGAGCACACTCTCTCTATAGCAAAACCTCTCCAAAAAAAGAAAAAAAAAAAAAAAAGAAAGAATGAAGGCCAGGGACCAGCAGTTAGCGTAATGACTGTGTCACTGGATTCCCATGTAGTCAACTGCAGTTCAAGTCCTGGACCTGGTGACTTTAACTCACAACGGGCACATGTGTGTGCTTGCCCAAGATCTTGAGAGGAGAATGGAGGAGAAGGGATTATGACGTGGCCATCCTCCCTGGGGGAATGATTTCTCGCTTTCTGTCTCTCTGTCTCTCTCTGTCTTTCTGGCGAGTGCACACGCCCTATAGCAAAAACCTCTCCAAAAAAAGAAAAAAGAGAAAAAAAAGATCTTCTGAATGTAACCTTTTCTTGTTATAGGTTTAGCAAAATTTCCTTGATGATCAGTGAAGTTGAACTTCTTTTAATATGTGTAATAGATCTTGCTATATATATTTATTTATTTTTGTAAAGTGTCTGTTTAAGTCTTTTGCTCATTTTATTATTGACACAATTTTTATATTGTGCAGGAATTTTCATACATTATGGTTATGAATCCATCGTCAGATTTATCAGGAATATTTTCCCAGTTCGTGGCTTGCCATCTGATGAGCTGAAGTTTTAAATTTTAATGAATTCTGATTTATTAATTTTTTTAATGTTTAGTCCTTTTTGTATCCTCCTTAAGCATTCTTTGCCTATATACCCCCAAGGTTATAAACATTCTGATGTATTTTTATTTTTAAGTTTTATAGTTTTTTTGTTTGTTTTTAATTATTTATTTAATTTAAAATTTTATTCATTCATTCATTCCTTTTCATTTGACCAGAGAGAGACACAGAGAGAGAGAGGGAAAGTGAGAAAGCAAGCCACCAGGTCCAGGACTTGAACTGTGGTCAGCCATGTGGGAGTGTCCAGTGCCTTCACCACCACACCACCTGCTGGCCCCAAGTTTTATAGTTTTGACTTGTACATTTTGAATTCATTTTTATGTATGAAATGAGAAAAGGGTCAAGATTTTTCATTTTTTATGGCTTATTCTATTGTACCAGCAGCTTTTAATCAAAAGACCCCTCTATCCCCCACTGAATTAAATTGATACATTAGATGAAAGTGAGTTGCTGATAGCGTATGGTCTATTGCTGATATTGAATTGTGTTCTATTGTGTTCATCTAATCTTTACAGTAAAACCATACCATCTTGACTAATGTAGCTTTATAGAAAGCTTAAAATCAGGAAATGTGAATCTTCTAATTTTTTTCTTTTTCAGGATTATTTTGGCCATTCTAGGTTCTTTTAGATAAATTCCATATACATTTTAGATTTAATTTGGGTAGAAAAACATTGATTTTTTTTGTTAGGGTCATATTTAATATGTAGATCATTTTTGGGTAAAATGAGGTCCTGACTAGGTTGAGTCTTCTTCTAATCAGTGGCCATGGCATATTTCCACATTTATTTAGAGTTCTGTTAAATTTTTTTGAGTAATGTTTTATAGTTTCATTGTATACGTCTTGTACTTTTTTTTTTTGAGAGGTTTTTGCTATAAGGCAGAAAGACAGAGAGAGACAGACCGAAAGCGAGAAATCACCCCCCCCCCATGGCCACGCCACAATCCCTTCTCCATTCTCCTCTCGGGATCTTGGGCATGCAAGCACATGCACCCAGCGTGAGTTTAAGCCATCAGGTCTAGGACTCGAATTGCAGTTGACTACATGGGAGTCCAGCAACATAGCCATTACTCCAACTGCTGATCCTAAAGTCTTGTACTTCTTTTGCTAATACAGGAAATGATAGGCCAGCCCCTGTAATTACTTTCAATATGTGCTCAGT